ATTGATAAGGAAACAGTAAGCAATTGGTATGGAAACATAATATATCACAGGGCGCCGATTACAAAACGATTGATGCTGATTCAAGTCACTTTGCTCTTCCAATTGTGTACCAACTATGTTGAAAGTACTCATGACAATGCCTGCCTCAATACTATTGGCTGACAGTTCATCCATTGTAATCACCTTATCAACCATGTGTTGCCTTTCTTTTTGACAAGACTGCATCCACATTTTTCCCGTTAATAATAATAATAAAAAAACAAAGTAAACACGTCGGCCTTTAACAAAATAGATATGTTACAGGTCTTCCTGGGAATGAAATGTATGTTCATTTTTTATCCTAATATATAGTGTACATTCACCATTATAGTCGATCCATATATTTCTAATCTAGGTATGAAAGAATGAATGGTTAAAATTATGAAGTGAAAAGGAATTCCTTATAAATTAAAGTACTTGTAAACTTAAATCTTATGTGAGTGAATTTATTACTCAACCTAAATATCTTTTGTTTATTGAATATGAGTTATATTTTAAAGAATTCTTAATAATTTAAGTATTCTAAAGAAGTAGATTTTCAAATTAATTATGTTCCGTCAGCGAGCAGTCCACATCGGCGATAATTAACTTTTTAGAATATTTTATTTAAAAACTTAAAAAAAAAAACAAATGCATTGAGCAAATGTACGTTGAGTACCTTTTAACATGTCAAATCTGGTGTAATATAAGTATTACAATTAAGAAAAAAGGTATGCATAGTTGTAACAAATTTTTACTACACGTTTGCAAAAGCTTTCAAGTAAATTCATAAATTCTCAAACAATTAATTTCTTTTAACATGTATGAAGCTGATATAATTTAAGTGTTACATTTTGCTAAGGAAGACTTAAATGTAAATTATTTTTGACATTTTCAAGGCCTTTTTAAACCTGTTTGAATGTAGCACGTTAAATCAATAATGGTATTTTTGCCAGCTAAAAAACAGCTTAAGTTCAGTATATTATTTGCACATAGCTGGATTATACAACATCTATCATTCCTAATTTTGATTCCGTCTATGTCACTGCATTTCTTTTAATCTTCATTTTTCAAAAAGAAATTGTAGCAAGTGTCAAGATTTGATTTTGACGTTGATTACCCCATTCCTTTGTGTATATTTTCTCATAGGTCGGTAAAAACAGCAAAGTTCACGTAAAGAATTAAAAAAATATATGTAGGATTAGTTTTAATAGCGAAAAAAGGTTTCTTATTTCCGTCAAAATGACTTTGCATTTTTATATTTTTATTCCATTTGATCATTTATGCTTTCGCAGTTTTCCCTTTGGCAATATTTAAATTTTAAATGTTTGATTTGTCAACTTGCTAGTGAAAAGATTACAATTAAAGTTCTTCAACGTACCCTAACACTAATGAACATTTTCAAATTTCTATATTTATTAAATCACAATGTCTAAAGATGAATTTTCCTGTTCATTTAAGCTGAATATGTTGCCCATTACGAACATTTTTCCTGAGCAAACAAGATAGTACAAACATATAAAATAACATATAAATGTTATAAATATCTGTAAGCATGTTGAATTCATGTTCTTTAAAACCTCCAATAAATGGTTTATAAGAAAGTATTTTGAATTTGACAAGTAAATAAAATTGATATTGATTTTAACGTTGATTTTTATACAAAATGTTATTGCTATCGACATATGAATATCTTCATCCTCACATATTTTCTGTTTTTCGTATGTACAAAAATGTTCTAAAATTGAATGTTTACATTTTGAATTCAATTCCATATTTCAGTATTCTGTGATAACCTTATTGTTCCAGAGAACAGAGAGCTGTATGTAATGCATGATATAAAGGCATTTTCATACTGAGCTAAAATTTTCCAAATTACATTATGGTCCTTTTTCTTTGCATTTTCGTTTAAAGGGGGTTGTATATAAATAACAATCTAAAAAAGATGAATAGTAATACCGATTAATAGAATAAGAATGGTAACCACACTCAAGGTTTGTTTAAGTTTAATCATAGTTTTTGACTTTGTCACTTAGTTTAGGTGAATTGAGTGTCAAACGTATCTTAATGCAAACAAAGAAGTTTGGACTAAGTAAAGATCTTGTCCAAGACAATTTATTTGTATGTTTTCTGGTCTTACCCCTGTTTTCACAGATTTATTGTCTTGTATCGACGTTAGATTCACCTTACCGACTTTACTTGACAACAAACCAATATTTAAAATTAACTTTATCCGCAAATGGCCGACTATTGAATTCTAAAAAGCGGTGAAAGGCTATTCCAATCAATTAGATTGCACTGCATAGCACAAGTATAATTGCTCTGAAAGATATATCACAAAATAATTGACAAGAGCAGGTCTGGATTTAATGTTATCATATTTTAATCACAATGGTACTATAAGCAGTGCCATAATTACGGACAGAATTATTTGCTGGGATACAATAATTGCATAGTTCTGGCAAAGAGGATAAGCTCCACTTTCCTCAAGACAGTATGACAGTACATCAAAGAGACTAGTTGTCCGTAAAACGATATCGGCTCGAAAATAATCCATAAAAATGTCAGACATTAACTAACATCCTCATTTTCATTTTTCTTTCTATCTTTTTGAAATGTCCGAACAAACAGTATATCGATAACCCAAATCACAAAATTAACCAGATTTGGCGGTGTAATTCGTCGCATCCTTCTCGGTTGCTAAATGATTAGTTAATACTCCTCTTGGGGCTCGATAGACCGATTCTTGTTCCCGCTTACATAAACCAGTGGAAATGTCTGTTGCATATACAATGCATTTACATTGTTTACGTAATAATTGTTTAGAAATTATACTAAAAGGTTCACTCGTTTAACAAATTATAACTGAGTTAATTGACTAATTATAACAAAAATCTGGAAAACATACGTACTTGAACCATATCATCAAATTTCTTTTATTTATTATTATTAAAATACGATAACAACAAAAACGCAGATATTGCTTATATCATAACTGTAGTTCATTAATGATTTTCTATATAGCGACTATAAAGCATTTCTGGTAGAGGAAGACTTCAGAAGCCCCTCCGTCGTTATTTCAGGCACACACATTCACCTGGGTAGAACGACCTATGTTCCATAAGCTAGCTTGAAAGTGAAAAAATCGTAAGTTTGTTGCGGGATTTGAACTAACAACGATAGGATGCAAATGTCGTGCTTTTTTTCTTCAAATTATTCAATGTTTTAGTTCTTAATCTGATAACTTTTGTTCTACATATAATTTTTATCATACTGAAACAGATTTGTTTTTCTTTCGCAAATTCATATACAGTACAAACAAACTGGTTTACATTACTTGCTTTTTAAGAAGGAGTTTACTTAAAACTTAAAATATAATAACAAAAAGAAATAATTTAGAAACTAAAGTTTAATCACAATAATTATAAAATCCGCTTAATATTGAAATTAACATAAACAGCAAAATATGTAATGCAAACAAAAATAAGTGAACAAATTAACATATGAATTTATAATAAATATATATTATTATCGTTATTGCCAGTAACACTTATATCATAATGCACGAATAAGGCAAGTTTCCAAATAAATTGAAGAATTACAGCCTCTATAACTTAGGACTTCTAACAATTCTATTTAATTTCATTCCGCTAATTCTTTTACGTTGAGAACACACTCGGTTCTCAACATTGACATATTCTTATTTTCAAGGTCTATAATGGAAGGTCTATATTACAATAAATAATTAAAAAGTTGATAGTATCGGACGTAAAAACAAGTCATGAAAGAATTATTGATATATAATGTTAGCAAGTATAAGTTACATGATCCGATATTGCATATCTTTATACATTTTTGTATAGCAGATAATAAAACTTTCTAGAACAAATATTATTATTCTTCAAATAAATGTTCATACTTTTCACTAATGACTTTCCTACCGTGTTTCTTTGAGCAATCTTTTGAATATCTGAATGATACGTTTCTATTTATTTTTATCATTATCTAAAATAAATATGGAAATTGTGCCGATTGTTACGGAAACGTATAGCTACCACCCCTATATGTTAGTAAAGACAGAATTTTTAACAAACTATTTCATACATATAATATACCTATTGTTATTTGATATTGAATATATACTTTTTACTCAATCTGCTGTTAATATTGCTCGATTAAAATTTATGTGAGTTTTTTTCTGTTCATTTATATGTATTAGTTATATATATTTGAGTTTTTTTTATTATAATATAACATATTTTACAGTTTATAGATAATGAGGACAGAAAGATCCCGCATATTTACATGTAACAAACATACTATAAAACTATAAAAAAATGTCATTTGATATATATCATGTAGGGGTGGTCGCTATACGTTTCCGTAGATTGTAGACCGATCCACCTTAAAGTTAAAACTTGTCTAGTCCTTTGAGATCATTTCAGTACTTGAATATCGAATGAGTAATTTGTGTGTGTTTTTGTTTGTTTGTTTTTTTAATACTGTTTTATTTATTAACTTCTTATTTTAACATTACTATGCCTGTGTTATTTGTTTTTCCAATAATACGAATTAAGCTTTAGTTACTTTATTGTCTTCATTTCTACCATACAATACACAATTTGTTGGTTGATATATTTTGTTACATGCCTTATGTTTTATGCTTGTGATTATATATGTCATATAGTATGACCCTTGATTGGTGAAATAAAATTATTCTATTCTATTCTATTCTTAGGTATTGTAGATTGAATACCGCTTATGTCGGTGCTAGAGAACATAAGATATGTTGCACATCTACATTATTTCTCCTGAACATACTCAATTAAACAAACTCTGCAATTTTCATAATACATTTTGTTGTTTTCACTATTTACGAGCATCATTCTTAAAGTGATTTTGTTTGGGTAATTTGACACTTTTATTGTTCCCGTAGGAACGTATCATATTCAGTTAAGCATTCAGTTAAGCATTTGAATGCAGATCGTTGCTCTAAATTCGCACTTTATGGAAACCCTTTTGATGCAAATTATGACTTTCTTAACTTTATAGAAAATAAACCAGTGTTATATTCTTTGCAAATAGATTTTCATATACATGTAAACCCAATCTTTTGTGATGCGTACATATCAACCGTCAATGTATTCGAAATATATTCTTATTCTAGAAATGAAAGGAAATGGGTACTTTATTTTATGGAATTCATCAAAAGGAAGCAATTGATCAATAATGCAGACTTTCGTTCAAATAAGGAAAAACTGTTGATGGTAAGCATTGATTTATTGATCTATCAAAACTAACACTGCAATGTACAATATAAAATAAAACATTTGCTTCATTTTAAACTATATATCTTATAATTGTTCATAAGCGAAATAAGACAAAGTTATCTTACTAAGCCCACATGTATGATTCCAATATGGCGGATACCATACTACAACTTTAAAACATTAATGCTCCCTGAAGACCCTGAAGCTAGTAGCAAACCTGTCTGTTTGTCAAAGAACAACGTTGTCACTGTAACTTCTTCCTCTGATTTGTTATCTATGGCATTAACCTTTCTCTGGCCGTCCGAACTTAACCGAACAATAATTTGCGAAGTATAGCCGCATACTAGGACATTTCCAGCCTCATCAACACTCACTCCCCATGCACTCCAATAGTCAGAATCTTTATATGTTCCGATGAGGTTTCCAGACATGTCAATTGTAATAAGGCCGTTATAGAGGCAAGTAATGTAGATAAGTTGATTGTCTTTGCTAAGTGTAAGATTCCTAAAAGCATTGTTTTCAGCTTTGTTGGTGTACAAAACACGTTGCATATTACCTTCCAGATCATAAACATAGACAGTGTTAGAGTCAATCATATACAACTGATCAGCATGATAGTGCATTCCTACGCAGTTGTGTTTTTTTGCTACTGAAAACATGATTTTCATACCATCCTTTACGTCTAGGAAGACTATTTCTGTATCAAGAAGAAGTGCTGCAAGTTTCCTATCATGTATGTAACAGATATTGTATGGCAAATCATTGAGACGTAGACACGATACTAATTTGAACTGGCTGTCGAATTTGATAACTCTTTTGTTTATTCGGTCAGCTACTAATAACTCATCTGTAGAAATTCGACACCATGTGAGGTAATCATGTCTGGTAGATTTCGTGGTCACTTTTAGTTTGCAAACTTGCCCAACTTGCATATCGCTGTAAATGTCGAATAGAATGGCTTGTATTTGAGTAAGGAATCTAAAATGGTCACTTGAATTGCATTTGAATCATGTTTAAATAGGCAATGCTGGATTGATAATGATGTTTACAATATTGCTTACTATGAAAGTAAAAATCGAAATGAATTTCTATGATCTTATTATAACTAACAATATGCATGTGTGTATATAAAAAAAAGAAATATTACTTGAGGTTTCCTAGCATGTTTAAATTTGTTCAGTTGATTACAAGCGATAATGCACATGATATTAGAAATTTAGCTATGTTTATATAGTCAGCCTTCCATGTTAGACAACAGTTACAAGTAAAGGTACAAAAATGTTTAATTCAAAGTTCTATAATATGTTTTATGCGAATATCTAGCCCCATGCGAACGTACAAAGAAGTTAGTTGACATATTGTATTGTACTTCTATATGTGTAATGTACGAATATGAGCTGTCATGTAATTGTATATAAATGTATGATTGATACATTGCAATTTATTTTTTTGTGTATTATATGTATAATAGGTTATGTAACACGATGATTATAAAGGCTATAAATTTGTAAGTTTCAAGTCATACACTGGTCTTACCTGTATCAAGTTTGAAGCATTATATGTGTTCAAAAGTATAGTTTAGAATTAACATTTGTTTTGTTTTGTTTGTATAATTTCAATATTGTGTGCCATATTACTATTGCAATAAATCAAAACCATATAGCTTAGATTAGTAAATGTACTACAAAGACCAGTGTATGGAAGAGAATTTAAAGTATACTATGTAATAGATGCTGACAATGCCTCTCCCGAGATTGCAAGTGTAATACATACACGAAGTATTTCTAATGATTATATATTTGAATGTAGAATCTCTCAAAAAGTAAATAACTTGTAAATTAAATATATAATCAATGGTAACCATTAATAATGAAAGAAAAGAAATACTTGCAGTCACGTCATCTTGCTATGTAATTAGTTATTTACGAGGTATGTTCAAAAAGTTCGTGGATTTTTGCTGTCATTTTTTACTTGGTTCATAAAAACACCCTTAGTGGATATGAATCGAAAAAGTGTCTTTATTTCTAAAAGTAAGATTTACTTTTATTGTTAACTTTTATTTCCTTTACGAGTTATGTGCACTTTAATAACCATGGCAACGCAACATCGGCGCACGCCGAAATTTTCATATAATGTTTAAATATAAACAAATGTTCAAACAAATTGAATGATTGTTTTATGAAGTAAACTACAAGTAATCACCTTTTAATATTTAAATGACATAAATCTTAAATTTGACGTCGTTTGGACGTTGAATAGCTGAACAAACAGGTTTTGAGCAGCAGTAGACAGACGGGTAAGTTGGGAAGTATAAAGCCCGTTTAAAAACTAGAAATTCGCTCTTTCGGAAATTTTTACCAATAAATGTGGGATATTCCTTTATATTTTTATGAGGTGATTAAATTAACGAAGAACAATGAGTTGGCGAGCAAGTCTCTTGGTTTCAGGTCGCGCAAGCGATTCAAATACGGCAAATACATGCTCACAGACAGAAAGGGCGACGGATAATTTTTAGCGGCAAATTGTTGGGACGTTTGTAACGTCAATTGCAAAAGATCTACAGAAGTCCAGACATTATGAAAGTTTTGCGAGATGTCCGACATGTTTAATTTCTGCATCGGGTCTATGCATTCAATTCTGACAAAACAATTTAATTTAATTAAAATAATATTTTATTTCATTCATCAGGATATATGCGTATTTACAATAAATAATTTGAGTTATTATTTGTATTACGTGTATTTACCCTGGTCCGTTTGACAGTTAATGCTAGCCGGTTTTCAGTAGATTTACCGCATAGAATAATTGTTAGTTGATAAAATATTTTTCTTTATCATTGATAATCATATTGTTTAAAGATCGGACGAGGGCGGTTTCAAATTGAGACTATAAATCAACAATTGAATTAACTTAATAACACTGTCCGTTAAGTGTCGAAATTACTCAAAATCCCGATAAAGAGCGGAAAGTTTGCGGCACTCGGACCTTTATATGGAGAATGGAGCGAAAAGATGACCACTTTATATCTCGGGTCATCATCACAAACAGAAAAGTGGGTTTGGTATATTATCCGCATATATTGAACACTAAAAAGAGTACTTTCAGAACCAATGTCGCTGGTAATTTTTTTCATTTATATTGCGACGTCACGAACGTCATTTTGTTTCATCATCAGCGTGCGCCGGATTGTGCACCCCTTGTGATTTGTGACTGTCACAGAATTGTTATTTGTATACATATTTTTTTGATTTTTTTCACTGTTTATTAAGGACATATTTTCATATATATCTCTTGTAAAATCATATATGCAAATTAAAAGATGTGAACAGTAGAGCCGCAGTCCACGAACTTTTTGAACAGCCCTCGTACTTATGCATACATGTAATTGTATATATCATGAATGCTTGAACATGACTCTTTTGAGAGTTAATTTGCAAAATAAAGATTATTCTTCTTCTTCTTATATACCTAATAATTAACTGATAAAAAAGTTATTAGTTTTTATACCGCATTGTTGTTACATGTTGAAGGAGGCACTAAACGGTCTAAAATAGGAGTTTTGTTTAAATCTTTCTTTTTTGTGTACAAATTTGTTCAAGTTTAATATAATATTTTTTACCTGTCAATGCCTTCTAAAATATTACACGGTGCTGGCGACCATGTACCTAGAAGAACATAAAATATAAACTTTATATGATTTAGGGCACGAATACTAGTATATCTTATAAAGATTACACATGTTTTAAAATTTAACTGTAATAACATGCTAAATAAAACAAACTTGATTTTGTTTGGACGGTACTGAAATACTTGACTTAATGTTAATTTAAAAGTCCAAATAAACATTCAATGAGAAATGACACTTCTAAGTTTCAATTAGTAATGATACATCGAAACTGAATTTTTATCATGCAAACTAGAAATAAATAAAGCTTTAACAGTATGGTACACTAATCGTAGATATATTACCTTCGGTGGCGTTGCTTTCTCCTTGCTGAAATATAACACAATGTTAATATCAGTATAAAAACGATATAATATACACTGTTAAAGGACAATATGTATAAATCAGTATAAATGTAGAGAATATTCAAGTTTTTCAATAAATTCTGGATTTATTTTCATAGAGTGATATGAAAACAAATAGTTTATGGTTGGTGGTCGACACCAGTAAAACATGATAATTTTCATACCTTGATATAAAATAGATCCTGTATTTAAAGTAAAAAGAACAAGAATAAAGATCAACAAGGCAAAGGCAACGTTCACAGGACGCGGCCCCGACACATTCAATATTCATATTCAAAACTCATGTTTTCTGTTCATTTTTTCTGTACTTTGTTCTCTTTTTTTAACATAACGATTCCAAAGACACCCCATTTAGTTTTGTGTAATGACTAAATTTAAAAAAATAGTCCTGCAAGATACCAGTGAAATTATAGTAATAATTCGGAAAATCAAAAAACGCATTTTATTCAATATTTCATTTATAATATTTGCGACATACATGAATAAACTGGAATATGATGAAGTATATAACTTTTTTTTTTTGCTTTGTAAGTGACATCTAATATATATTATATGCTTTACACTATAAGTATCTTAACTGACATTATGCTAATTTTATCATTATCAAGTTGAGCTGAATTAACTATATATTTTTAAAGATTCACTGTTAAAATGGGGATCGACCTACATGTACAGTTATAATTGGAAAATATAAAGGTTAAAATATCATTCTGCCTAAACTATACAAAAGACCTTCCCACTCTTTTCACCGATCATTATCGATTTTTGTTCGTATTCTGTAAACAATGAGATTACAAGAAACGAAATACTATTTCACGGACATTTCTAACATGTACCATAAAAATATGACACAGCTAGGGATGTATACGCACGATATATGAATAAAACAGTCATTGAAAGGACACGGAAGAGGACTGAGCCAAAAAATCAGCATCTATCTATCTATCCATCCATCCATCCATCCATCCATCTATCAGCACAATCACACTTTAACACACACACACACACACACGCACGCACGCACGCACAATGATATATATAAATATGTATTGGATTATGCAATAATCTAATTGGCCTATTATATTGAAGTTATTTCTAACTTAATTGAGACGCAATCACTTTTATTACAATAGCGGCGAGTTATTTATGTCTACTTTTACCGCAGGTGGCTGACTCAGTCTCATTCACAGTTTTTTTCTTATTCGCGAACAAATATAATATTTTATAAGGCTACTATTGCCGAAGAATGTGGTGTAGTGGTTAGCATACTGGACAGGCCATCCAGATACCCTTGGTTCGAGTCCCGGCTGCGGCGTGCCGATTTTCCGTGTGATATTTCTATGTATTATTTTTCGCTCATGACTTTCTTTCATTCATATACATTCTTGGGCGGTAGTGGTCTTATAAAATAATAAATTCAGAACATTCACCATTTTATCGTTTTTATCTTTTCTTTCCTGTGACATGACTTCATTTACTTTTTCTTTGATGTGCTCATCATTCTCAGCAACCTTATTGACCATCTACAAAGAATAACATGCTAAATCTTTAGGAATGTCTGAATCAAGCATGGTATAACCTAAATTCAAATTTTCAAAGAAACGTTGTATACATTTAATTATATACTTTATAAAAAGATATATATAATAAGTCGTTGGTATTAGTATAAAACAAGTATTTGAAAGTCATCGAAAAGTTCAAATAATTGTTTTAATGGCATTCAAAGATGACATGAAAGGTTCATTAACTCGCATGAGTTTATAAAGACAGAAAACGGAATAACTACACAATCACCATTCGAAGGGCTATTTTGTATACTCAATATATTAAAGATATTCGACATTATTATATTCCTTAAAAACAGCAAAGTATTTATACGTTATATGTTTTTTTCTTTAAGATTCAGTACCTGATTCTAAATATTCATTCAAGAAGCAGGTCTTAATGCATCTTATGTTTTTTTACTATGTTTTATATGTTTAAGTATAAAGTGATAAACATTTACCGTTATCAGTTCTCTTTTAGTGGCTTCAGACAAATTAGGATTATCAATGTCTATTGATGCTATGATCTTCATATTATTGACAAATTTCTCTTTTGCTTTCTCGTCTACATCTTCATCGGATTGACCAGCGTCTACCTCTTCTTCCGCTTGACCAGATGTCTGCTACAATAACACATTTTACAAGAAGATACATAAATAGAGGATATTGAATAAGTGTAAGTTCAATACTGAATTTATTGCACGAGTTGAATAAAATTATATTATGCGAGCCTCTGGCGAGCATAATATTAATTTTTTCAACGAGTGCAATAAATTCAGTAATGAACTTACACGAATTTAATATTCTATTTATCACATACCCAAAATAGAGACCGTTTAAAGTGAAATAAGAGTCATTTTTCATTGACGCGCCTATAGTATAACGCTAACATTTAACGCGTCTTTACACTATGTTAACATAACGCTAATGACGTCACGTCAAAATATATGCACGGCCGTGCCATACCATATTTACGGAGTCGCAAAATCGGCACGGGTGTGTGATAAATATAACTAAAGCATGGATGGCATCGGTCATTAAATCAATCATAATGTGTGCTAGGCACGGGGGCAAGTTTTCGCGGAAATGGGGGTGGGGGTGTTCGTAAATGTTTGTTTGTTTGCTACATCAAAATCTACTGTAATTAAGAGTCTTCATAAACAAAAAAGATACCAGATAAATATAACATTTTAACAGTTTTAACATTTTTATCATAAAATTAAGAAGAAAAAAAATTTGAAGAATTTGAATATATACATTAAAGTGTCTATCTTCACAGTCGTCACTTTTCGCTGTTAAAATTTGTGTGAACATCAATGTATAAACAAAACAAGATGCTGACCCATTGAAATAAACAGAAACCTCACTAGGATTCTCAAAATAGGAGTCCTGAGACTAACTTTGTGTGAATTAAGATACTAAAGTTTAATACATAAATGCAGATAGATAACAGTGATTGATAATAGACTGTTATAGTGTTTCATTAAAATAATCTCAACATAACAAGCAAATTCATTCTATCGTTGTATTTCGTTTCTGTCGGAACATAATCAGATCTAAATTCACTTAAGTTATCTGTCATCTATAAATGTATATGTATACCGAGATTGCTACCACTATTTTCAAGGCAGCTTAATATAATTTAGAATTGCAAGTTATCAGTACAAATATAAAAATACATGTAAAGACAATTTTTGGTCATTTAATGTTAATTTAGTGTTTCTTACTACGTAAGCATCAGATTCAGTTGATTGATTTCCCGCATTAGCGTATTCTGCAGTTGTGTCACCTATCATTCTTTCAATTTCTTCGTCTCTAAAACCAAGTGATTTTGTTATCTCGTTATCTACTTCAAGGGCTTTTATTTTCGTTTGGAGTGCCTCTTTAGTAAGTTTATTGATCGTTTGCTTCACTGCCATAGACATGACTGTTTCCTTTTGCATCTGAGTTTTAATACAAATGAAGTTAGTATTCATTAAACATTTGTTTACTGAAAACCATGTGACCAATTGGCCACGTTTAATAGGTAACAATCTTATAAAAAAAGATACTCGACCGAAGTATAACTTGTTAATTTGTATATGTTAACAATGCTTGCATAACAATGAATAAATAATTTCGTGCAGCTAAGAAAACAAAACTACCCTTTGATTAGATTATAAGCATAGTAATGTATTTTCGAATGTATAGTATTTATTTAGGTATGCCTATTACTTGTTTTTACGCTTGACTTTAAAAAAATTGAAAATCATATGCAATATTAATGGTATTTTTTTTAAAGAATGACATATGAAATATTCAAAACCAAACAGCAATTAAAGGATAATGGATACCGTTAAGTCAACAAACTACCTATAAAGGTTTTATCTCTGATTAAATGCACAGCTATGGTGAAAAAGAAATTTATAAAACACTGTAAAAACTTTGTAAGTCGGCTTTCACAAACAAATAACTAGAGATAGACCTTAACGATGTTAAGAACCCTTACCACCACATCAATTGTGTGAAAGGGTCTGCAGCCAAATTTAAACTCCAAATACAAATCGAACACTTTATTTGTGCTTAATAATTTCGCTACAATTCATTTAACTGTCAATGTAAATTGTTTATTTTTTATATACCGAACATAGTTTTAGATTTAAAAAAGAATTATTCAAACAATTAAAGATTAACGAAAATGAAGTTTGAAAAGGAAGTTTATAAATGAAGCATTTTGGTGGCAAAATAAATCCATGGAATTGTCAGATGTACAGAGGGAAATACTGAAAAATACTGAAAATACGAAAAAAGTAACCTTTCTAATGTAAAAATACTTAAATTACAACTGACATAATAAATTAATAAATGAGGTTATTAAACTTGAAAATGGATCACTGTAACATGTATATGTTCATAAATGAACATGCTTAAGTAAGTACACTCAATTTCTGATACCAACATGTACGCAGAAGGTAGGGAATTATATTTATGAAAACTTGATTTATATGCAACAAAATATAGAAATTATTAATTGAACAAATCAATGACCATATAATAATATTGGACACTTACTGAGCATTATTTACTGAGTAATATCTGATAAGATCGGATTTTTTCGTGTGTTTTTCGATATTTTCACGTCAGCCACGTAAACTTAGGGCTCTTGTATGTTATTGATTGTCTCCTTATTTTTGGACAATATTCATAACTCAGTAAGTTATTGTTTAAATAACTTAATACAATTTAAAACAATTTAATACAATTTATAAAATTGGTTCTGGGTGCATAACAAATAGAATAAAAATATATTTAGACAAACTTATTAACAGTGACCAAACAGGATTTATAAAGGGCAGATTTATAGGAGAAATGTAAGACTAATTTATGATATAATGCAATATACAGAGGAAAATCACATTTCTGGGCTTTTACTCCCTATCGATTTCGAAAAGGCTTTTGATTCTTTGTCTTGGGTTTTTGTAGATAAAACATTGTCACTTTTGACTTTGGAGAAGACATCAAAAGATGGTTTAGCATTTTCTATAAAGATGGGATTTCAGCAATATGTCAATATGGATTTTTATCAAAGTTCTTTAGCATTCAGCGTAGGTGCCGGCAGGGTGATCCGTTAAGTTGTTATATTTTTATTTTATGTGCTGAAATACTTTCGCAGAAAATTAGGTTAAAAACAATATCATAGGAATTAAATGAATATGGTAGAACATAAGCTATCTCAATTTGCAGACGATACTACAATTATTCTAGATGGTTTGGCCTCTTCTTTAACTGAAACCTTAGACACATTGTCCATATTTACTATTATTTCAGGTTTGAAAGTTAATTTTGACAAAACAAAAGTCGTCCGGATTAAAAAAGAACAATTTAGTGCAATTAGTATAAAAACAAAATGGAAATAATCTTAGAATCAGCAATTGGAAGAATAGTTGTCATTAAAACTCTTATACTGTCACTCTTTAATATTTTCCCTCTTATAGACGTGTTTTGATGGCTTTTTGCCTCCCCCTTTTTTGAGGCCTCAAACAGTGACAAAATGCCCTATTTAGGCCCCAAACACTGTTTTTCGTTTGAGAAATGTTGATAAAAAGTGACCCCTTTTTCGGCGCCGGCCCCCATCAAAATGTTACATCAGAGGGTTACCAGAAGGGGGATGTGCCCCTTCTGTTTTGGGGTGGGGGGGTTGAAGCCAAGAAAATTTTGGACATATGACAGGCTTAAAATGGCCTCAGGTCGATCTTGGGGTAACAAGTAACCGACGCTGAAAAGCCTTTTACTCTATCTCCATTCATTGAGAAGTTGCAGCACTTTGAAATCAGTTTTGATGGAAAAACAAAACAATGCAAAATAGTGATTTTTTGCAATTTTGAGACGTCCCCCGTAGCTATGGTAACAGGAAATTTATGGTTGAGCATGCTGTTACAGAGGCTATGGTCTAGTCAACATTTGTGCCAAGTGTCATCAGTATTGAAGGATTTTTCATAGTTTCATAGCAGTTTAAACTTGTTACTGGAGGTTTTTCGATGAAAACGGCCATTTTTCGAAATATGCTCATGGGGTAAAAGGTTAATCACTTGTTTGTTTCTTTGCCTAATCCTCCAAAATCTTATATTCAACAAATAGTAACTTTATTCTTTGAATGTATATGGCAATGTCAATGTTAAAAAGACGTTTTGATAAAAAAAACAAAAAAGAAAATCTTATATTCAACAAATAGTAACTTTATTCTTTGAATGTATATGGCAATGTCAATGTTAAAAAGACGTTTTGATAAAAAAAAAGAAAAAAAGAAAATCTTATATTCAACATATAGTAACTTTATTCTTTGAATGTATATGGCAATGTCAATGTTAAAAAGACGTTTTGATAACAAACAAAAAAGATGGAGGTCTTGACATGATAGATTTAAATGCCTTTATATCTGCATTAAAAACTACTTGGATTAGACGAATCATTACGAGCAACTGAAAAAGGCAAGATATTGTTTCTAAACTAATAGATATAAATAAATTATTATATTGCGGCTCTCATTTCCCAGAAACCATAGCGAAATCCTGTAAAAACTAATTTTTTGGAAAGATAATTTAGATGCTTTTGGTCAATTATGTGAAAAAAAAATCCATGTTCTGATAAATTGTTGGAATATCGATTATTTTATAACCCAAATATATTGATTGGTTAAAAAGGTATATTTTTAAAGTCATGGTTTAATGCTAGTGTTCAATGTACAGGTGACTTGTTTAACATAAATGGGGATTTATATGAGATCAATAAATTCAATAAAATTTATAATTTGAGTGCTAATGTTTTGCATTTTCAAAGCATATGTAACGCGGTAGTTAAATATCTTAAAAGTGTTGATTATTCTATTTGTAGTTTGTATTTAAAAAAAATGTTTCAAGACCTTATATTTCACCAATACTCTCTCAGATTTTAAAAAATGAAAAAGGTTCACAACAGTATGCATAATATATAAACATCAAATAACTGTACAGCTGTTTGTAAGTTTAAATGGGAACAAAAACTTAATACTAAATTTGAAGATAAAAATGGAACAAATTTTTTTCACTTATTTTTGACACCACTTAAATACGAATTTACAATGGTTTCAAAACAGAATTGTACACAGAATACTTGGCATAAACGAACTTTTGTATAAGATGCAATACAAAGATAATCCAAACTGCAGTTTTTGCAACAAAATTGCTGAAAGCTTGGAATACCTTTTTTGAAACTATATAGTTGTTTTCGGTATGATTCATGGTCTTTTTGAAAATACCCATTTGCATTTGACAAGAACACAATTTCTTTTAGGCATACAAAAAAATGCTGATTATGAAACCAATCTTTTGCTTTTATTTGTAAAGAAGTATATATATTATTGTAAAAAGAATTTTAAAAGACCGTCTATAGAGGTTGCTAAGCATTATATAAATTGAATACCAAATCGAGAGAGAAACACAAACAATTATTAACAAGGTAGATATTTTTGACAAACATTGGGACAGTTTGAAATATATTTTTTCATTTCTTCATTTCCTGGATAGCATGCGAGTGTGGACATTGTATTATTGATTATGTATTATTATTTTTAAATACAATATGACTAGAAACAGTTTTCATTCATTAGACAACAGGCTACAAAACTATATATTGAAAAGTTAATTGAGATTTTACACAAATCACAGGCCTTTATTTTTTTAAATGTACCTTGAGTGTTTGTTTGTTTATGTGATCGCGGGCATGCGTGCGTGCGTGCGTGCGTGTGTGTGTTGGTGTGTGTGTCTGTGTGTGTGTGTCTTTGTATGTATGTTTGTATGTATGTATCTATGTTCCCTTTACTGGTCTCAAAAAACAGTTATTGTAAAAAAATAAATTGTTCAATAGAAAATAAAATGAGAACTAAACGCAGAATGAAATGTTTTCTGGGAAGAAGTATGGTTAAACATAAACAGAACTAAAGCATCTAAGTAATTGAACTAGAAAGTAAAAGAACTATATTTTACATTTTATTTTATAATGGCAAGAACTCTTCTTTACATCCCATTTTAGAACTGTCTTTAAAAATTTATTTTAGAATGGCAAGAAGAGTTTCCCAGATTTAAATTTGTAATTTTAAATGACCTATGAAAATTGGCTTAAATTCAGTCCTTTCCTGTAAAATTTACAGGAAGTCAATCTTATTTTAGATGGCCTTCCGCCAAAGAAGGTAATATAGGTCTCATATTATGCAAAACCGTATAGACGTCTTTTGATACTGTGGACATTTTCAATGGCATTTTTAATGTCAATCTGTATCTTATATATAATACAAATACATTTTATCCCACCTTTTCGATTTCTTTAATGGTATCTTCGCATGTAGGCACGTTCTCAAATTTTTCTAGCAGGTTAGTCATATTTGTAAGGTGAACTTGCTTTACCTTCTGACTAATTCGGCTATTTGCAGAATGATGGAGCTTGTCTCTTGACCAAATCACCTAAAAAGTATATAAAGTATTTTTTTAACTATGAAACAAATCTGTTATTTTGCAAACATATAAACCAATCGAAATATAAAGATTTGATTAATTTTTGTCGATGGATGAGCGTGAGACAGATGGCATCTTCATTACTCCTTCAAGAGTAGGTTTAGTTACATTTACACCATTTCATTTTGTTTGTACACTGCTCTCCAAGAATCGCCGATTTCCAGACATTAAATTATTTTTCTCAAACATTTCAGTATCTAAATGTTGCACAATCTTAAACAATTGTTTACTCACAATACGTTGGCAGCTAGAGAAACAATGGCGGGCTCTGTTAACGTTTGAATGCTAGTTCAGTAAAACATGATTTTTCGAGATGTGGAAGATTTCTTCTTTTTTCCGTTTAATATACGTGTACAATTTGAACAATGCTTAATAATTAATTCATTTAAAATAGGAGGAAGTACAAAATGTGTCTGGGTGATATGGTATAGTCATTTCGCTTCAGGAGTATGCTTTCAATGTTTTTTTTTTAATTATCGGGAAAAATTTGTTTTTAAAAGACGCGAACAATCACTCATTTACGCATACTATATTTGATTCTGCAACGTCGCACAATGGAAGTATTTTAATGGTTTAATACGAAATACAGCTAAGTAATAGTGGTTGAATGGCATAAGGATAAATTATGTAACTGTCACACGGTCATTTTGTCTTTGGTAGAATACACGGTATTTCATACCTGTACTCTTTATATCATTCTCTTATCGTCTCTATTTCAATCAATCATCTGCATACTTATTACTTTATTTTACCTTTAATACGTTGACGGGCCTCATTTACTTCAGTTTTGAATTCGGTCAAGCTAACCTTTACGCATGCGGACAAGAAATGAGAATTTTATAGCGAGAGCTGTTGTGTGCTTCATTGAACCTTTATTTCTATCTAATTGTGTGCCAACCACATATAATTACAGGTTCCTCTTCTAACGCCCTATTTTCCAGAGACAGAGACAGAACTAAGAGTATATTATATTTACTTACTTCGTCATAAAGAAAGTCTTCATTTTCTAGAGCAAATAGCTTGCAGTTTTTCATCATCTTCAAGAACATCGAAGCATCCGTATCGCCTGGTCCGGTATTTGCAATATTTGTTTTGGCCTTTCCATGCTGCATAAACATGTTTGCAATGCACCAGATATGTGTTTGATCACACCCGTCAAATATATCGTTGTATTCTATAGCAGTTGACTCAGTCTGCGAGCCTAATGTCGAGACCCAATCATAAAGAAAGTGCCAAATTGATTTCAATCCTTCTTTCGATGCTTTTGGTATGTTCTCTGATATGTTTGCTCCTTCGTTGTTGACCATTGTTTCTTTGTTTTTCTTTGCTTGCCTCTCGCATAGGTTACTGGTCCAAACGATATTAAATTCTTGCTTTTGCTGCAGTGCAAGAATTTTATCAAGAATCTTATTGCATTCTTCGGGATGATCACAAACGCACCGCCATTTTCCTGTTTTCGATTTCTTTTTAGAATTATTTGCAACTTTCTCAACTTTAATCCTATTTTTGGCAACACATTTTAGAAAGATCGGAAAGCTGTCTTTCATGTTTGGAATATCTTTTTTCCAGGACAATACTTCTTTTTTCCATTCTTCCATTACGTATTCATGGAATGCCGCTTTTGTCAAGTTCAAAGCATGAACGCCTTGGAGCCAGTTAGAAAATTTCTCCTTGTTTGTCTCTGGTTTATTTTCCATCTGTTAAAAAAGAGTAAATTGATTGTAACTGTAGTTAATAGATATATGGAATGGTAGCTGGAGAGAGAGAGAGAGGGAGAGATGGAGAGAGAGAGAGAGAGAGAGAGAGAGAGACTCCCTCATGTTTCATGCCAAATATCTAATCTATAGCGTTTTGGATTGTCACAAGAAATTTTGTTAAAGTTTTTACTATATGCATATCAATGACACCCTGGGACGGGAGTCACCTTTGGCCCTAGGGGTTTCATTTGAAAAAACTTTGTAGACATCCACTAGATGATGTTTCATGCCAAATATCTAAGCTCTACCTTTTTTGGATTTTCACTACCTTTTTTGGATTTTCACAAGAAGATTTTTTAAGTTTTTACTATACACATATAAGGAAAATCAATGAACCCTGGGGCGGCCAATTTTGACCCTATGGCTTTTTAATTGAATAAACTTCGTAGACATTCACTAGAAGATGTTTCATGCCAAATATCTAAGCTCTAGCTCTTTCGGTTCTTCATGGAATTTAATTCTTTGAACACCTTTGGTAGAGCTTCGTTCAAGAAACATCCTTGCAAAGTTTCAACAAATTCGACAATGTGGTTTAGGAGGAGAAGTTGTTTAAAGAAATCTTTGACGCACGGACGATGGACGACGGACAATGGGCCATCATAAAAGCTCACCTTGAGGACATTGTCCTCAGGTGAGCTAAAATGACGCCTGGCACTGATTTAAAATAGACGTCTGAAATGTACTTGAAAAAGAAGTCTGAAATATATTTTTCAAACATTACTCTTAAGTCTGACTATTGCTTCAGAAGAGGTATGTCATATATATGAAAATATGTTATGTACATCAAAACAGAAGTCGGATATGTACTTCCAAAAGAATTTGAATGTGTCTTGTACTTAAATACTTGAAAGGGAGAAGATTGAAATGTAGTTCAAAAGCAAGTTTGTTAAGAAAGTTTTATTTATTAGGTACAAAACGAAAAGGTTTTGTATGCCGAAAGAAAAGAAGAGGGTTTCAATTAATTTGAAATAATAAACAAGAGGGCCAAGATGGCCCTGAAATGGCTCACCTGTATATAGGCCCCCAGGGCGGGGCCAATTTTAACCCAGGGGCTTTGATTTGAACAAACTTGGCAGACACCCATTTGAAGATGTTTCATGATAAATATCTAAGCTCTAGTTCTAAGAAGATTTTTTAAGTTTTTACTATACACATATAGGAAAAAACAATGACCCCCCACCCTCTTAACGGGGCCAATTTTGTCCCCAGGGCTTTTATTTGAACAAACTTGGTAGACACTCACTAGAAGATAGTTCATGCTTAATATCTTAGCTCCAGCTCTTAGGATTTTTAAAAAAAGATTTTGAAAGTTTTTAATACATACAAAAAAGGAAAATCAATGATCCCCTGGGCGGGGCTAATTTTAACCCCAGGGCCCTTATTTGAACAAACATGGTAGACACCCACTAGAAGATACTTCATGCTTAATATCAAACTTTTAGCTATTTGAGTTTTTTAAAAGAAGATTTTTTTTTAAAGTTTTACTATATACAAATAAGGAAAATCAATGACCCCCGGAGCGGGGCCAATTTTGATCCAAGGGCATTTATTTGAACATACATGGTAGACACTGACTAGATGATGTTTCATGCCAAATATTTAAGCTCTAGCCCTTTCGGTTTTCTAACAGAAGATATTTTAAGTTTTTTCTTTCGGTTGCCATGGCAACCAGAGTTCTGCTTGGAATTAAATTCTTTGAACAATTTTTAAATGTTGACTACAAAAGGAACATTCCTGTGAAGTTTAGATGAAATTGGCTTAGCGGTTTATGAGGAGATGTCGTTTAAAGAAAAGTTTACGGACGGACGACAGAGGACAGCGGACGGGCGCTGGACGAAAAGCGATCACAAAAGCTCACCATGTCACTTTGTGACAGGTGAGCTAAAAGGAAATAAATAATATGTTGTACTATAAATAATAATATGGCAAGTAGCAACTAAAAACCAAATAACAAAAGGACAATTTTCAAAGCTGATACAATATTTAGTTAGATACTGTGTATAGTTGACAAATAATATGGAGAAAACAACAACAACAAAAAAAGAAACTAGAACTGTGTCCAAAGGACACTGATGCCCCCACTGTGCAGATGTGCTCATAAACAAGAGCATGCATATCTGTATGAAGATTTTTATGTGGAACTTTTTCATTCCACTGTTTCATCTCATGTACATGTTAAATTCAATTACAAATGTAAAGTTTATATGTTCAATTATTTATATGGTATATAGTGAAAAAATCAACAAAGTGCCATAATTCTGTTAAATTTGGTCACAGCATTACTACCATCTACACATTAAAGCTGTTCATCCCTGGAAGTTTAAGCAAAATCTGCCATCCGGTTAAAGAGGAGTTGCGTTCACAAAATTTCTATATCGTATATAGTGAAAAAATTAACAAAGGGCCATAATTCTGTTAAATTTGGTCGCAGTGAAAATTCCTTCCTTTACTTCCATCTACACATAAAGGTTGTTCCTCCCTGGAAGTTTTAGCAAAATCCGCCATCCGGTTTAAGAGGAGTTGCGTTCACAAAATTTCTATATGGGTTATAGTGAAAAAATCAACAAAGGGCCATAATTCTGTTAAATTTGGTCGCAGTGAAAATTCCTTCCTTTTCTTCCATCTACACATAAAGGTTGTTCCTCCCTGGAAGTTTAAGCAAAATCCGCCATCCGGTTTAAGAGGAGTTGCGTTCACAAAATTTCTATATGGGTTATAGTGAAAAAATCAACAAAGGGCCATAATTCTGTTAAATTTGGTCGCAGTGAAAATTCCTTCCTTTACTACCATCTACACATTAAGGTTGTTCATCCCTGGAAGTTTAAGCAAAATCTGCCATCCGGTTTAAGAGGAGTTGCGTTCACAAAATTTCTATATGGTATGTAGTGAAAAAATCAACAAAGGGCCATAATTCTGTTAAATTTGGTCGCAGTGAAAATTCCATCCTTTACTACCATCTACACATTAAGGTTGTTCATCCCTGGAAGTTTAAGCAAAATCTGCCTCCGGTTTAAGAGGAGTTGCGTTCACAAGATTTCGGGACGTACGGACAGACGTCCGGACGGACGGACAAGTGCAACGCTATATGCTCCCAACTTTGTGGTGGCATAAAAACTGAAAAAAAAACAAACAAAACAAATCGGTGAAATAAATAACTCGTAAATTACACAACAACGGTTTCACACGCGATATAACGAAAAATAGTCTAAAAGGTTTTAAGCATATCAGTGACAACAAACAGTAACTTAATCTGCCTGGACAGGAAGCTTTATTATTTCGTAAACAACACGCTATTAACTGCCAATTTCTAAAATAAGAGCGTAGCCTTCTACTCAATCTTTTTTGTTGTTGTTTTTTATTTGATTGTAATTATATTTTGTATATATGTTTAATTGTAATGAGACATTGTTTAAATAAATACAATGTAATGATTTTAGCAATTAGTGAGTTAAAATATGACATAAAACCTTTGTTTCTGGTGACCCACGACTTGCCTAAAGTTCAAGTAATATTCGGTCTTGAAAAAAAAGCTATTACGAACTATCTCTCAAAAAGAATGTTTCACATATCAGATTTCCTTTTTCTTAGATTTTCAATTAAAGTCTGCGTTTGCCATGGTATTCGATATTTTACCATGGTAAATGTTGGAAGATCAATGCCATGGAAAAATTTTCCAAACATATAAAAATATACTAAAATGCTATACTAGTATTTAAAGTATAACAATAAGTACTTTAAGTAGCATATACCATTTTACAGTAACTCATTAATTAAAAATAACATATAAATATTTTTTATGTTAATATAAAAAGGCGCTTACCGTTTGCATCCGGGTTGATAAAAAGTAAATCGAAAATAGTGAATACTTGTTGAAGTGTACTTAATATTCTAGGTCAATGCCTATTGATTAAAATGTAGGACGGTCGAAGTTAAAAATAGATTCTTGTTTTTTAGTTATCACTGTTGTACAGCGTCCACCGGATATAGTCACTCAAAACTCCGAAAGCGAAAGTAAAAAGGTTTACGTTGAGTTGCGAAAAACATTACATAACATAACATAAATTTTATTTAACATAAAATTGTAAACATACAATTTATAGTCAAATCATATTCTGTATAGTGTAAAGTGTTAAAAGGAAGTATTGTTAACCAGTATGAACAAATGTTATGATATATGTAACAGAGTTTGCATAAGAAATACTTATACATGTAAGAAACAAATGTACTTAAATAAAGAAGAAAAAATATTTGTTAACGTTGCCGAGAAGTATTGTTGACAAATATAAACAAAGGTTACGACATAATATTGCATAAAAAATACTAATGCATGTACACAGTAGAACGAGATTTGTTCACGTGCCGAGAATTATTGGTGACAAGTATAAACATAAATACATTTAAATATGTAAGAAGCTAAGTAGAAAGATATTTGTTAACGTTATATCATATCAATATCCACATTATAATATTTCTAAGATGACATAACCGTTGTATATGTACTAATCATTTATTGTCGTAGTTATCTCCCATTTACTTGTAATCGTAAGGATTTATGTCCTCTCTTTAAATGCGTAGTACAGATAACTTGCCAGATTATTAATTGTTTTGATATTTGTGCTTGTCATTAGTGTTTCGAATTTCTGCATTGAAGGCCATCTACAAAAATATGGTTTAAAAAACTTTCTACGTAAATTGTAATATTTCGGGCATATTAATAAGAAATGATATTCTGCCTCTACTAAATTTAATGAACAATTTCGACATTTTCTGTTTTCTCTTGGAATATTATCGTGCCTTCCTTTTTCTATTTCGAGATTATGAGCTGATTATTTGGTTAAAATAATCCTATGGCTATCTTTGTTTATAACGCTTAAATACTTTTCGCACTGAAATTCGTGTTTAAAATGACTGTAATGACTGTAAGACGAAAGTCTGTTAGAATTATTAATACTTGAATACCAATTTTGTTTGTAGATATCTAAAATTCTTTGCTTTATCAGCAAAAAGTAGCATAAATAATTTTAATTCATGTACGGTGAAAATTCCATCAATGTTACTATTAATGTTATGAATTATGTCATTAACGAAGAATAAAAATAAAAGACTTGAACTTGGGTCACCTTGTTTTGCATCTATGTTTGAGTTGAAGTTTGGTGATATCTCTTTTTTAAACCTTACCGCTGATTTTACGCTGCTGTACATGCTTTCAATTGCTTTTACAAATTTTGAACTAACATTTTCCTGGATTAGTTTTTGAAAGATAAACGAACGTTGTAATTTATCAAAGCATTTTTCAAAGTCTACAAAGGCTACGTATAATTTATTTTTATCAGAAAGAGTTTTTACTATTATTGAGTGAAGTATAAATATGCAATCTGTAGTTGATTTTCCTTTTTGGAATCCGTATTGATTATCTATTATAGTTTTATGTTTTATAGTCCATGATGTTAGGCGATTAAGTAATACCTGTGAATATATTTTAGCAATAATGTTTATCAAAGTTATACCCCTATAATTTTTGGCATCTTCCGGGTCACCTCCCTTATGTATAGGAACAATAATTCCTGATCCCCACTCACTGGGATATTCTCCGGTATGAAATATCCTGTTAAAAAGTCTTAGAATAAAATCAGACGTTTCATTAAAAGAAATTTTATATATTTCCGATATAAGTGTATCTATTCCACTACTTTTATTATTGTTTTGTGAAAATACTGCTTTATGTAATTCTGACATATTAATTTCTTTATCTAAATCTTCATCTATAATATTTTGATTATAAGATGTATTTCCAGTTGTTGTCTCTGTGCTATACAGTGTTTTAAAATGCTCACAAAGATCTTGTGTTGTTAAAGTTTCAGCCCTTCTTGTATTTTCAGTGTACTGACTTCTAATCTTATTCCAGAAGTTACGTGGTTGAGATTTACTCATTTCATTTAAGTTTTGCCTCTCATTAAAGTTATATTTTTTCTTTTGGGTTCGTTTAATTTTGTTATAATTATTTTTATAGTTTATATATAGATTACGAAGGTTATCATTGTCTTTGTTTTTTACAAAAGCATTTCTTGCTTTTTTGAATTCAGCTCTAGCAGTGTAACAGTCAGCATTGAACCATGGTTTTTTCTTTAATACTTTATTTAATGATAGATACAGTTCGTGTTGTTCGTGTTTGTCCGAAAATATCATTCGAACAATCGCTTAAAATCTTAATAAAAGATTGTGATATAGTATCAATATTTTCGTTTTGGTTAATTTCATTAGTTAGCTCTAATATGTCTTCTCTTTTTGAGTTTAAGCATTCTATAAATTGTGAAATTTTTGTATTGTCAAATTTCAAAAACGTTTCTTTGTGTATTTCAATCGGCGGTGAAGCGTGATTTTTACATGGTAGACTAAAACAGAGTGTAGCAACACTATATGTCGCAACGCCGCTATATGTCGCAACTAACGCTAAATGTCGCAACGCTGACGCTATATGTCGCAATCAACGCTATATGTCGCAATCGCCTACCGCTAAATATCGCACAAAAAACGATTGCCGCTAAATGTCGCAACCCCTTGATGCTAAATGTCGCACTTGGTAGGAAAGTGACAGATGGAACTGAAACAAAAAGTAAGTGTTAAAACATTTAAAGTTTATACCATTTACACATGAAAACATATCCTAGTAAGCAAACAAAAGTTGTATTTTGCGGTCTATGGCAAAAACCTTGTATGGCCATAGAAACGGTTTTTGATAAAAGGGATGGATTTGGTTCTCAACCACGGACCAGGTGTGAGATCAAACTTTCTCTTTGAGGATGTCTTTCTCACAAAATGCATCAACAAAAACATTTGGATATACATGTATATTTGGTATATTATTTGATATAACTGAGCAAACCGCTTGTTAATGCTAAGGGGGAACTATATCTTAATATATATTTTATATTATACCTGTTCATAATCTGACTAGATAGGCTTTACTACATGTAAGTATTAAATAATACCCAATTGATCTGTTGATCGATATTCGTAACTATGCGGTGTATTGATTTAGGTTTATGACAGAATTGTTATACTTTCATAACTTTTTATATTTATCTCAATATTTCTTTGGGAACATTAATGAATCAATATACTATATGGAATTGCCAAATGTTGACTGTCTACTGCTTGCTGTCAACTGCTTACTGTCAACTGCTTACGGCTTACTACTTATTATTCACTGCTTATAGCATTAAAATAAAAATGGACGACCTATTACAACTGTATTAGTCAAAAAAATATTCAGTTGCCGAAATAGTTGCCGTTCTGGAGGCCAAACACAATATAGTGCACTTTCAACAGCCTTGCTGTTGGGTAAACCCTTTAGCGATGTGGTTGAGGTGTCCGCCTACGGACAAAGAGGTCTGTTGTTCCAACCCGGTTGGACCCTTGGTATTTTTCTGCCTCCTAATTTACTTTAATGGTGTCAGAAGTGTTTGACGGACTCATGCGGTAAGCAGGGAGTGTCATTCAGGAGAGCTGGCTAGCTATGAAAAGTAAAGAGGGGAGGAGTGTAGTGGTTGTAGGTATATAGGCCACTTCCTTCAGCCTTGCTGTTAGATTAACCCTTTAACGACGTGGTTGAGGTGTCCGTCTACGGACCAAGAGGTCTGTGGTTCAAAACCCGGTTGGACCATTGGTATTTTTCTGCCTCCTAATTTACTTTAATAGTTTACAGGTACATATATATTCTTAGAACAACATTTAAAGGAATTCACTGATAAATTAATAAATGCATGGACTATAATAATGGAATTCCATAAACGACAGCCAACTGTTGACTGCTTACTGTCTACTTCTGACTAACTGCTGCCTACTGTTAACTGCCTACTGCTAACTGTCAACTGCTTACTGTCAATTGCCTACTGTCAACTGCTTACTGCTTATTGTTCACTGCTTATAGCATTAAATGTACCAAAACCTAAATAATTATGCGTGTCAGTGCAATAAATCGTTGATAACTCGGTCGGAATCCTTTGGCTGATACATTGCAAATAAATACGCGCAACGCACGGTAGGCAGTATGCAATAGTGTAAGCAGCGCGCAGTAAGCAGTCAACAGTTGGCAGGCGTTTATGGAATTCCATAATATACTGTATTATAATCAAACATTTCCAATCGATCTTCGTAATGCACAATCACTATACATGAAAACTTGGACGTAGCTTTGTTTTATCCAAAATCTTTAAAATGCCCTTTTGAATATAAATACATGTATATATTTAACTCATTTGAATATGCTCGGTTGTGTACTAAATTTTTATTATGTCGTGAACTTGATTTCGCTCAATCGTGAAAAATTGCCGCCGCATTTGTCGGAACAGGTGCGCAGGTTTTAGAGGCATATCTAGGCATACCAGTAACTCGATTTTGTAAATGAAAGAAAATTATAAAATAAGATTATTTTACTTTAATGTGTTAGAACCGTTCTATGGTAGTCTACAATGGAATCCCTGTTTAAGGGATAAATTATTATCGAAAGTTGTTGAAATATTAATACTTTACTTTGTTTGGCTTGATAATATATAATCTCAGGTTCTACCTCTTTATGTGGCAAAAAGGCACTGTTGCGCCGCATAAAAGCAATTTTCGCTTTATGCATTGCGCCTAGCCGCATAAACGTGTTCACCACTATTATGCGAGGAAAATCACCGCATCAATGACTTTGAACCCGTTTATGCGGCAGGGCTTCTATGCGGCGTCACAGTGCCTTTATTCGGCTGCGAAGCAACCAAGTCTTATATGATTTTATATAACACACATGATTTACTGCGGCACTACACAATTTATTTTGCGAGTTCCCAATAAAAACACAAGTAAATAAAAAATGTCTCGTACATAATTTTAACACTTTGGGGCACATTTTAAATTTCTCGCATTGTTGCAAAACATTCTTATTTTTCATTTTTGTCAAATGAAAAGAAAGTATTTTCTCATGTCCGTAAACATCCAATGGACTGGACGATTTTAGATTTT